ACCCGAAGGATGGACATATTTGAAACTCGGACTTGGCGGGGGGGGACCAAGGGCAACATACGTAACCTAAACATCTGTACCCCCATAATATGCTGAAATAAAAGAAAAAAAATAAATAAAAAGTTGACATATACTTGGGATCAAAAAAAAAAAAGAAAATTACCTGCTAAAACAAAAGAAACAACACTCATCAGAGAAAAATAACAGAATCCAGAACTTAATGTTCATATCATCTAGAATACAATCAAAAATTATTCAACATATAGAGAATCAAAAAAATAGAGCACATTCTCAATGAAAGAAAAATCAACAGAATCCAACCTACAATGAACTAAATGTTGGAACTTACAAGAATTTTAAAGTAGCTATTATAACTACCTGAGGGTTATATGAAGTCAAACAAAGCATCTTTTTAATGCACGAGAAATCTCAGCAGAGTAATGAGTCATCTCAGCAGAGAAATAAAAATAATAAAAAAGAACCAAATAGAAATTTTAGAACTAAAAAAGTCATTTCTAAAATAAAAAATTCACTGGATGGACTTAACCAAATCAATATGACAGAAGAAAAAGCAAATGAACTTGAATACACATCAATAAAAATTATCCATGGTGAAGAGCTGAGATTAAAAAAGAGTTTTTTAAAAAGTAGAGTCTCAGAGACCTGCTGTGTGATATTGAGAGGTCTAATGTATGTGTAACTGGAATACCAGAAGGAAAGGAGAGAAAGGGGTACACCATACACAAAAATTAACACAAAGGTAATCGAAGACTTAAAATGTAAGAGCTAAACCTATTACTTAAAGTAGGAAAAAAAACCTATGTTGTGACATATTGTTGAAGAAATCTTAAACCATACACCAAAAGCACAAACTTTAAAATATAAATTGATAAAATAGACTTCATTAAGATTTAGAACTTTTGTTTTTTTTAAAGACATAGTTAAACAGCAACAACAACAAAAACATACACTGGGAGAAAACTTTTGCAAAATGTGTATCTGAGAAAGAGCTGTTATCCAGACTATGTAAAGAACGTTTGCAACTCAATAGTGAAAAGACAAACAACCTAGTTAAAGAATGGGGAAATGATTTGAACAGATACTTCACAGAAGAAGATACAAGCATAGCCAGTAAGCATATGAAAAATGTTCAACATCACTAGTCATCAGATTAGAATCAAATTAAAACCACACATACCCACTAGAATAGCTCAAGTTAGAAAAACTGACAATACCAAACGCTGACAGGAATATGGAGCAACTAGAAATTGCATTGCTGGTGGGAATGCAAGATGATACAGCCACTTTACAATACAATAATGCAGTGCCTTATAAAATTAAACAAGCATGACCTAGTAATTCCAGTTCTAGGTATTGACCCAAGACATATGAAAATGTGTCCACACAAAAGTATCTATGTGAATTATTCCTAATATCCAAATAAGGATTGCTATTATTTATAATAGCCAAAAACTAAAAGAAACCCAAATGTCTATCAATTGCTGAATAAAAAAATTTTTAATGTGATATATTCATAGCACAGAATATTACTCAGTAATAAAAATAAATGAAATGGGCAAATCTTAAAAACATTATGCTAAGTAAAAGAAACCAAACACAAAAATCTATGTACTATATGATACATTAAATAAGATTCTAGAAAAGGCAAAATTCTGGTGACAGCATGTCAGTGGTTGCTCGGGGCTGTGGTGGGGAAGGGGAAAGAATGCAAAAGGGTGCAAGGGAACTTTTTTGGCTAAGGGATCTATTCTATATCTTGATTGTGGTGGCTGTTACATGGTTATATACAATCACCAAAATCAGAGAATGAACACTTAAAATTTGTGAGTTTTATTGTATGCAAATAACATGATAATAAACAAAAAAGAGGATTTTTTTTTTTAAAAGAGAATAGAATCAAAGCCAAGTATTTTGCACATTGAATTTCAGCAGCTGAGTAAGTCAATTTGGATGATTTAGGATAACCCAAAGACACTTGGCAAGAAAAGTCAGCCTTCCAAAAAAAATGACCGATCTGTTATCAAAAGTGTCAGAAAGCAAAGGCCGGGCATGGTGGCTTACACTGGTAATCCCAGCACTTTGGGAGGTGGAAGTGGGAGGATCGCTTAAGGCCAGTCTGGACAACATAGCAAGCCCCCATCTCTACAAAAAATAGAAAAATTAGCCAGGTGTAGTGGTGTATGCCTGTAGTCCCAGCTACTCAGAAAGCTGAGGCAGGAAGATCATTTGAGCCCAGGAGTTTGAGGTTGCAGTGAGCTACAATGATGCCATTACACTCTAGCCTGGGTGACAGAGCAAGACCCTGCCTGTCTCAAACAACAACAACAACAACAACAACAAAAACAAAAAAACAGAAGTATCGGAAAGCAGTTTATCCACCTGCTCAATGGCATGGCACTTAAATCAAGAATTTAGTCCTCGGTGAGTGACTCTGAGAAAGAAAAATGGATTTGAATCAAGAAAAAGAAAATGAAAATATCTGATTTGCCCCTTAGGTCAAACAGTGACTTGGCAAGAAATAGCAGTAGAAAACCCTAGAAAAAAATTTGGCTCCTACTCACTAAAAAGAAGATTTATTATTCACAGCTGGTGACATTATATGATGGAATTGGAAAGTGAATAAAAACATTGTTTCTAAGTGACTAAAAGAGCTGCCAAAATTTAGATTAAAAATTACCTTTTGGAAAGTAATTCTTTAGATCAGTGGTATATACAAAAGACATTTTCATTTTACTTTACATGAAAGAGCTAAGCAACTGAATAATTTTATCAACCTGCTCATGTTTTGGATTTTTTAGACAAACTTTTTATTTTAGAATAATTTTAGATTTACAAAATTATTGCAAAGACACTACAAATACTTCCCATATACCCCACACTCAGTTTCCATTATTAATAACATCTTCTATTAGTATGGTACCTTTTCCATGATTAGTGAACCAATATTTTATTTTATCATTAAAGTCCTTCCTTTATTCAGATTTCCTTGTTTTTACCTAACATCTTTTTCTGTTCCAGGATACTATCCAGGAAACATTACATTAGGTAGTCATATTGCCTTAGGCATTTTTTGATTGTGACAGTTTCTCAAATTTACCTTGTTTTTGATGACCCTACAGTTTTGATGACTTTGACAGTATTGATCAGGTATTTTGTAGAATGTCCCTCAATTGCGCTCTGTCTGATGTTTTTCTCATGGTTAGACTGGGATCAGATTTTTAAAATATCTTTTGCTTAATGTTTAAAACCACCATAATACCAAATTATAATAACTTGAATTATTACCCGAATAACTTCCTCAATCTTGCTAAAAATGAAAATGACTAAAAGTATTCCTGCTACAGTAGATTTAAGTGAATGCTTCAATGTGAATTAACAATCACGCTATAGCTCTAAAACCCAGCTATTATTTTATATATTCTACTGCATAAAAGACATATTAAAAATATTAATTCATTGAGCCTCAAATAAGATAAAGTAGTAAATCCATAGGTAGGCAGTTATAATTAATTCCTCAATTTGCAATAAGTTATTTTTAATAAAATTAATTTTATTCTTTTTAAAGAATGAAAGTATGTATTTTGATATATTCTCTTCCAAATCACCAACAGATTATAAAGAAAAAAACAAAACAAAATAAAAAGTTATTTTCCAAGTGGCTTTAAGGAATAAAGATATCCTTAAAATATGAGGGAAAACATGATCCCCTTATTATTTACTGCCTTGATGTTATAATTTACTAATTCTTCATATTAACCCATTTAAATTTACCAAAAACAGCTTAGCACGTGAAGAGGAGAAAAATGAACTCTCTTAAGGCTATTGAATCAGTGGCAGGTCATTTTTATCATGATAATATGATGGAAAAAGTTCACAGGAGTTTTCATGTCAGTCAAGCTCTGGATTTCAATCTAGGACTTTTATAAAATGCTTTAATAAAATATGCATCAGGCTATTATTTGTTTTTAATCCTAAAGACAAGGTCAATGAGGAGAAACACCCAACAGAAAGTTGGATGTGTTCAACACCCAGGGGGAAATGCTGCTTGAAACGAATGATCTCAGTAAAGGTGAACCAGATCTAGTCTGATGCCAGTGGGGCGGGGGTCGGGGGGACAGCTAGACGGGTGGGTAAGCCCAGAATAGGAGTACTTTATAAACTGCAAAAATTACCAGACTATGTTCATGCTAAGGTACTGCAGCACCTGATTCAAAAAGGACAACAAAAACAAAAACACAACAAAACAAAATCCACTAAGAAGCACAACATCCTGGAACATACAGCATCCACCTGTCAGATTAGGCAACCAAATGGTTCAGAGCTCCAAGCAGAGTTTCTGGGTGTTAAAAGACAAGATATCCTGAGTCTAGCAGATTCTTGGCCTACCATGAGAGCGAGCTCAATAAGCACTTAACAGAAAAATGAGTGAGTAAATGTCTCCACAAGAAGAACATAGGTGGCCACCCCACAGCCTCTCAGCAAATGCTTAAAAACCCCTTGGTCAGCCACACAAAAGTGTTGTCAACAAAACCACAAAATCAACAATTTCTCCTCCTCTTTCTCCCCTCTCCTTCCTCCCTATCTCCTTCCTCCTCTCTTTCTTCTTCTTTAATTGTAGTAAGAACACTTAACATGAGATATACCCTTTTAGCAAATTTTTAAGTGCACAATGTGACCTCTTCTTCAACTTAGCAGGCACATGTTTCTTAGGGCACTGCACCTATCACTGTTCTCAGGGTTCACTTTGAAATCTGTGGGAGAAGCAGGTGCAAGGATTGAGGTCAGACAGGAGAATGTCACTTTCTATGAGTAGCCTCTGTCTTGATTTCCTTGTTTGTATCCCAGCCTGTTTATATCCCAGACCAAGCAAAAGAAAGCAAGAGCAAACCGTTACAGCTCTTAAAATGATGCTTCACTTTCATCAGTGTCACTGTGCATATTACATTTCTGAGAAGTGGGAAAGAAATGATGTAATCATAGAAAGTCAAATAAGAATGGGATATAAAACCCATCTAATTAATGAAGGGAAAACACAGGCTTTATAATATGGCAGAAATGAAGAATGGAGCTTTAAAAGAAAGAAAGATGCAGCCCAGTTTACTCTGAGTGAATCAGGATCAACTTGGAAGAGGAGAGGTTATATATACCTGTTGAGAGCTGATGTTTATAGGTTGTTTTAAAATAATCCATGTGACACTCTCGAGAAGAGGTGGAACTGTAAGAGAACCAGGATATGTCCAGTAGTCCCAGGATGGTGGAAGCAGAGACAATGGGTCAAAATTTGTGAATCGAGTTTGTTTACCCTGGGAGGACAAAGAGAAGTCCTGCAAATTACAACAGGGATAGCTTTACACAGCCTCAACACACATACATCCAATAAAATAATATGGAATTATTTAGTACCTTCCTTTAGTATCTAAAAAAAGCATGTCTTCATCTTAAAATCTTTAGACAAAGTAGCACATCATATAGATTTATTTAAGAAGCAAGAGATTTGTTTAAATATAAGCGGTCTTTATAACATGTTACAATTAAGGGCTTATTCTATAATACAACAATACTAGAAATTAATTAGGCATAGATGGATTTATTAGTGATTATTTTAGATAATTTAAGATTTTTTCATAATTTTCAAAAGATAAGTGCTAATAGGTTACTTCTGCTTTTTTGGTCAAGTATGTTGCAAACTTTCTTCAAAACAGACAACATATGCTCTGTCTAAGGTCTAGGTCTCAAAAAGAAAGAGAATTCAGGGGAGAATAGGGAACTACGTTAATCACTAACAAACAGTAATTCATTTTACCTTTTCTTTAATGGAATCCAAAATATCAGTAATCTTTTGTAGTTGGGAATTATGTTCACCAATCTGAAAACATGAAATTTCAAAAGAAATGGTGACTATAACAGATGAAGTCCAAATCAGTCCATTTTAGCCACTATTTTTAAGTTATTTTCTTGAAAAACCTAAGCCAGCACAGAACATACAGTGGTTGTTCTATAACAAAGCTTCTCTTTTACCTGCTGGTCTTATCACACCAGAAGAATCTGAACAACAAGATAATATTACAGGGTTTCTGTACTGAACTTTCAGGTTGTTTCTAAAACTAGTAGTAACAGCTTCATGTTTTTTCAGCTTTATGAATGTTTATTTAACTTGAGAGAAACTTTGATTAGGAAACTCTAATGAAATATTTGCACAATTAAGCCAGATGTGACATTCAGACTCTAGATCCAAACTGACTATGATGGCAACAAAATATTAGATGAAAATGTCTCCTACTTGCTGCCTAAAATGATTTGAGGTCCCATTAGGGGTGTTCTGAATCTACCTGAAGGTTTTAAACCCTGTAGTCTCTTGCCACACCTGGAACCTGCCGCCACCATCCAGACTTGGTGGCCAAAGGCCAAAGAACTGCTGCCATCCATGGCACTCTCCACATGCTCCCCTAGCCTCAGCTCCACGAGTTGCCACCTCCCATGCAGAGTATGTGATGTGGCAATGGTGTACACCCTGCAAGAATGTGGTGGCAGTGGGAGTTGAGAGGCCCAACCCGTGCCCAAGTATGATAACAATACTTGTCTGAACACGTGCAAATATTAGACAAAGGAGAATACAACAAAATTTTTTTTAACACATTGACTGCCACACAAAAAAAAATCAGAAACTTTTCTTTGGGGCCGGTGTTTTATTATGAAAATAGAATGAAAACTTCAAGTGTAATTTAAAGGTAAACATGAATAGACAAATGAAGTTTATTGACTTCTATTCATTTAATACAACCATTCATTTAAGAACATCAAGTAAGATTTTATATATGCTTCATGCAGCCCCGGGATCAAAACTAGAGTGAGTTAAATACAATTCTCATGGCACCTAATGTGTTAAAAATTGGTCAGTACATTGGGACAACACGCCATTGTGGTCAGACAAGTGCTTCAAGAATCAGGAACTTGAACTTTATTCGGTCCTACATCTCTAAATAGTGTGTAATCAGGAACAGCCAGAATAAATTTTTCTTCTCAGGAACTCAACTGTTATTTCTGCTGCTATTCTCTTTGTTGACCAATGAACAATGAGAAGAATCATGAGCAATGCTCCTAGATATATATATATGTTTCAAAAGGAATAGTAAACCTAGAATTAGTTTACAATTTAAAAATGGTTGAATGTCTTCTCCACAACTGAAACTGTCTATCCAACCTGGCTTATTATGAAATCAATGGACTCTCACCTGTAAAAACACTCCCAAGACAGCTAGTCCATCTGGCTCGTGAGCTGCCTCGACAAAGCTTGGGTATTTGTCTGAATTCCAATGGACAACGTGGAGCTGAAAGGGAGATATACAACATGGTTCAAATGTTTTTTAAACATCCTGAAAAACATAAATGCAAACAAAATATTTATGCAGACTGTACACCTATAGGGATATGTATAATGTATTCTTCACAAGAGCCTTGGACAGAATCTTCCTATTTACTTTTGTCCAAAAACAAAAGTTCAAGCACTGAAGGATTAAATCACTAACTAGTCTGTGGTATACTATAGTAAAGACTATTTAGAATGCCCTGAGCATCCTTCCCAGCCCTGCTGGCCCTGACAAACTCCCACCACTGCTCCCAAGTAACTTGGGGCTCCTCTGTGTCTTCCACAGATCCACAGATGGGATTGCAATGGAGCAGCCTGACATCTGATTTCAGCTGGCAGCAGAGTCCACTGAATGGGCTAGGGCTCACAGGTGGGTGGAGAAGTCAACCTCTTGCACAACAGGTTCTCAGGGACAATCCCACTGCCAAGGATAGTATGGCTGTTCCTGGCACTGCCCAGTTAGATGTTTACCACTACAGTTTAAGACTTTTTATGGCTTAAAAATGCAAACTGACCTCATGAGTACCTATTTTAAGCAGTATTCACACCTTTATATTATTAAGATCAATTTCACCTGTTTTAAATGTGTCTCCTAGAAGATTTAAGATTTCAGAGTAGCCCTTCTTTGTGTCTCCCTTAGATTTCTATTACCCAGAACTTGTCCGTGCCCCTCTGTAAGATCTGGAATCTTAGCCTTCCTTCCTTTCTTCATCCCGTGCATGCAACATAGATTTGTTGAGCATCTGTCAGGCTCTGGGCATTGCTACTGGCACCAGGGAGAGCAGCAAGCAAGACTTGTCCTCTAGTGGAATCGAATCACACTAGTAGATGGAAAATCCCAACTGTGGGAGTAGGAAAACGAGCTGAGTGCTTTGAGGGCCTCAAAAGGAGAGATTGACCCTGTCAGACACTGGGGTGGCTTCCAGGAGGAAGTCAGATTGAGCTGAGATCTGAAAGCAAAGCAGGTCTGAGCTGCAGGTGGAAGGGAAGGGCAGGGGAATTCCAAATAGAGGGGACAGAAGGGGGGACGTTCTGACAGTCATGGGAAGGAGTATGGGGGGCTGAGAGTTGGAGGAAGGCCAGGAGGCTGGAGTGTGGGGGTGAGGACAAACACAGTGAGGGATGTGGGCACTTTGGTGACAGCCAGAACCAGATCATCCATAAGTCTCTGTCCCAGAGGACCAAGAGGAAGCCACCAACGGGTGTTTGGCTGCAGGTGATGGTAGGTGGCATCCTGGTGTTTGCATTGCAAAGGCATCTCTTTGCTGAGTGTCTCTGGCCCTTGGTAAGCCGGGCTGCAGAACGGCTGCCCTGTGGGTCATAACTCAAACCAATAAAATCCCCCGTGGCCTCCTCTCACCAGTGGAGGAGGGTGCGATTAGGGCAACACTTGCCAAAGCGCTGTGCCAGCATTTCCCAGAAACCTCAGCCCTGAGTGCGTGTTCC